TACAGAAAATGGATGAATGAAAAAACTATTACAGAAAATATTACAATATTAAAGAACTGTTCTTGTTAATTTGATGAAAACATTTTAAATATCCAGTGCACTCATGTCAGAATAACTTTTAGATTTGTTGTCAGAATAATCGATTAATCGAAAAAATAATCGTTAGATTAATCGATTAGAAAATAATCGTTTGTTACAGCACTAGTTTATATCCACTGGCACCATGTTTGTAATGACTTATCACGAGAACAAATGTATTCACCTGTGACTTTAAGCATTTCTTACTTAATGGAAACACTGCAGTTGCGAAACTGTGTTTTTTCAACATTAACAGAATATCAACAAAGTTTTGCCCACATTTGCAATGGAAACGCAGCTACTGAGTATTGTATGYTAATTGTGCTTCAAACTGTTTTAGATCAGATGTTTATTACACACAGGAAGCTAAGAGGAAACACTGACCTTACAGATTTTACGTTTAACAAGCTCTATTTATTTTTCTCTGAATAAAATCTTCCACATGCAGTCAGGAGTTAACACGTTCCTATGATGCCACAAAGAATGTTTTGATTTTTGATCATGTGATTTAATTGTCTTAAGTTAAAAATAAAACTGTTCTGGTTCAACATTAGCRTCTTCAATCAGACACCAATGCTCTCAGTGTAGCCACGTGCTAAGCTAAACTAAGCTAACCACCACAGGTAAGAATAAATGAAGAAATATTTCTTAAAATGCTAATTTTTCCCTTTAAATCTAAACCACTGAAGAGTTTTGGTCATGATGAAGCTTTGACTTGTCTCAAAGAAGCTTTTAAAGTTCTAAATTAATTCTTACATCATCACAGAAACCATGAGTGTGGAGTTAGTGAAACTTACGGCTCACTGGCAACAGTTTCAGWGTCATCGTCCACTTTTACTGTGTCAGAAGTTTCAACTTTTGTAAAGTCCTGAGGAAAAAAAAAACAAAAAAACAAAAGTCAACACTTCTGTCAAAACAACTGTGATGTTTGAGACAGAAAAAAGAAGCTCAGATGACAATAAGACCAACGTACCGCTGTATCCTCTGCCAGCACATCATCTACATCCTCATCTTCCTCTGACAAAACAAAATGAACAGAGAGTTTATCAGAACAAAAACATCAAAGAAATAAAACATCTCAACAATACACATTTACACAGAATGTAAGACAAATAAAGATGCACAGAGCGATCGGACCAGTATCAGCAGGTTTTCACCTTGATTGGCTCAAACTGGAAACCAGCTGAACAAATTTTAAAAATCAGATTTTTTTCCTGGTTTTTAAAAAGTCAGTTCTGAGATATCCAACATTTTCTTTGGTCTGTGAACGCACCATCTACACAGGATACRTTAACAAACACGTGTTTTCAAGAGACTTTCTCTAAAGATTTAGCCACTTTTTTTGACCCTTCAACTGCCTTTTAACCCCCCCCCCCCACAAACTCCACATTCACCTGCAAACATCAGGTTTTTTTCTGTTCCCTCTTTTTGGTCCATTTATGTTCATAATGTTGTAAAATTAAAAGCATATTTATAAGGACTGATAAATAGACTCAAACTAAGATTTCAATAATTTGTCAACCAAATCTTGCATCACAGCTGACAGATCACACCGCCCGCTGCTGCTGTCCAGCACGCAGCTGAGCAGAGGTGACTGACGGGTGAAGAGAAGTAGTCTTAAAGATTTCAAAGAAAAACACAATCACATTAATTGTGAATATTGCCAACATGCAAACATTGTAATGAGCAATATTCAGAAAAATGCATAAAAATAACCTGTAGCAGATTCTCAACTCCTAAAATAATACAGGAAGGCAGTTTAGAAATAATTAAAAATGAGGCTAGTCTACAGTGATATATTTTGATTAAAGTGGGCTAAATTATATTTTATCATCCAGCAGAGCGCAGGGAGCAGAGATTGTCCTTAGGATGGATTTTCCTTTAWTTTCCATCCAAACAGAAGAACAGGAAGTTCAGGAATGCTGCGTTCACACCGAACACGATTTCAGCTTCAAAATCGCAGCCAACGCTTCAAGTTGGTCGCTTGTGCACTTTGAGGTCAGACGCAGGTCAGCTCCTGAAGCGCTGCACGGCAAGAGCCTACCCGCCCCTCCCTCCTCTGTTTAATGTCGGACGAGGAAGTGGCTTTGCTTTATTTCCAGAGAGCAAGAGCATGTCACGTTCATCAGATAATTAATTCATAATTAATTCACCAGATAATTCAGAGTAGAGGCCCACAGCTCGCTTTCAGGACTATTTTTGTCCCGAGTCCAGACTGATGAGCTGCTGCCACGCATTGGTGCTGCTATCTCCTGTCAGGACACCGACTGCAGGCACTCGATTTCATCTAAAGAGCTCCTCTCCATCTGTTTCAGGTTAGTGGACTTCTTTCGGCAAACTGTCCCGTCGGGAAATCTGTCACTACGTCACACAGTGGAGTCTCTCTGGTTGACGCGGTGCGTCGAGCAGCAAAAGTTCAGATTTTCTAACTTCAGTGATTTGCGCCTCAGCGC